TATGCAGCCAGACCCCTCCTCCTGCTGCTCCTGTCTCTCAAACGCCCCTTCAGGGAAACTAAAGCTTTTCCTTGATTGCTTTTTTCTTTTCTAAATACAGTAAAATTAAACTTCTTGATATAATTATTTTTGTGTTGTCTTCCAAATTAATCATCAAATGACACTTATTTCTTTTATGACTGAATTTTGTCTCCAGATTTCATTGGCTACTTGGTGACAACTGTCCATGTATAACAGCAGAGTTACATTTCCTACTACAGTACATTAGAGTCCAGTGTAATTTTGATCCACATCAAAAAGGAAAAAATCAGTAAGAAGGTTATTTGGTAATTTAATACATAAATAATAATGCTTCTAAGAAACTGTAGCTAAGTACCTACAGCATATTTTATGCCTAAACTGTTACGGGAGAAACCACTCAAGCAGTCGTACACCATCCCAGGAGTTGCACACTCACCACCCGAGACTCCTGCTAGGACCGGTGTTCCTTCGCAGTGGGCGACTCCAGTGAGCTGACAGGTGCCCCTTCCAGCTCCATTCACACATGCTGTCACCCTCGAGTGTTTCTCCTTTCCTCAGGTTTAGCCCTAGGTTTCCTGTAGCGAAATCCCAGGTATTGAATCTTATATTAAAAAAAATAATAATTTATTCAGCTGGTACAGCAATAAAAAAACCACTTTGAACTGGGTCAGAAAGGGACCCTGACCAAAGGAATTCCTGGCCAGTTATACCCTTACAGTCTATGCACCCGCCCCTGACATGCCTTTCACACACCTTCTTGGTCCCGGGGTGTTGGATTTCTTCTTTCACCTTGTTAGATTTCTCTCCGTCTCCAGGCAGGCTGCTAACTGTCTTTATCTTCTTGATGGTCGTAGCCTCCTTGTCTTCTGGCTTGTCGTTCTTGTGCACCTGCTCGCTCTGTCAGACTAAACTTGGGATCAGCCCTGTTTAGCAACAGCAAAAACATCAGTGTGTTATCAACATTGTTCTCACACTAAATCCTAAACACAGCATTATACCAACCGCTAAGAAGAAAATCAACTCTATCCCAGCCAAAAACCGATCTGAGTGGAAGTTCACAGCTTGCGGCCTAAGGGTTTAGCAAATCCAGCTACTCCGGCTAAGTCAGTAGCAAACGGGGTACTAAATTACTCAACATTATGCTGTAACCCCTGCATCCTGATGCTAAATAATTTGACTCTGAGCAATTAATTCTATTTAAAACTTATTTATACTAAACAACTTAACAAAGTATCATTTTCTCTTTCTGTGAATGCCTTAGAGTACCATGAATGCCCTGTTTTGACTAATAAGTTTAGAAAGGGGAGAAACAGATTATATATAGCTATGTGATTGTAAAGCTCTTGTCTTAAACAATATCAATGACGTTATTCCATAAATACCAAAAATTCATATAACTTACAACCAGGAGGAACCACAATGATCTGTTTGTATAACAGGCACTACAGTAATTCTCCCACTGATGTTAATCTTAAACTGAAATGCAGGTTTAATGAAGGGAAAAAAAAAAACCCTACAGGATTTTATCAGGGTTTAGCTTCAAGACTTGCATGCTTTTTGGAAATGTGTTAAGCCATAGACCTCACTGCTTAAAATTTGTGTTTTGCAAGTGGTTAAAGTATTCCTTTCTAGCTTCATGGGGGTTTTGCCTCTTTCAACTACAGAACAACATTTGCATTATTACTTCTAGATTGTGGCATACTGTCTTCTGAGACCATTCTCATTTTTTAATCCAAATTCAACATAGAATACTTCTGAACATATTTTTCAATGAAAATTTGTCAACAACATAAATGGAGAAATTATTCCAGCTAAGCAGACATTCTGAAAAATCATACTTAACAATTTTACAAATCCAGTTTTTTGCAATGGATATCTTTCTTAGGCCGCTCTTGAAACTTATTGTAAAACCAAGGGTATCTTGGCATTAAACACACAGTTTAATGCTTTAAAAACTTTTTTAAGTAGATCTGAACAGTTAGTCTGTCATCTGTATTTGACATGGTAAGGTGGTAAGCATATATGCATCATATGCTGATGTTCAAATTATCAGCTAGGATTTTGTTGGTTGTTTTTTTTTTTCATCCCCTGAACTTGATAAAACTATAAATATAATATTGAAAGCACACGCAACAGTTCAGACTACTAAAGGCAAAATAACATGTTTCAGTAAAAGGGAATGTATGATTTGCATGAAACGTTTTTAATTAACTTACACAGAAAGGGCCACCGGGGATATGAGAGTATGATACTGCAGTGTATTTGAAAGCACCTTCAGAGTGAACATGAAACAAGAGGAGTGATTGTTTTTTTAATTGTGGTTCTCTAATTTTTATTTTAGACAATTATTGGAGATTTTCAGAAGGAACAGAAAAAATTTGTCCAAGAACAGCAAACCAAGAAATCAGGTAACGTATGTTGGTTTTTAATAATTTGTAACATCACATAAGCTGAAACTTGCTGGAAGCTGGATAATTGAGCTGTATCTAAACCTAATCTGTCAAAACTGTGTTTAATAACACACATTATGGCAGAACTTAACACGTATTGTGGAATATGAAGATGACATTATTGAGGTTAGCATTACGTTATCTAGTTGGTTTAGATTTGCTTTTTTTTTTTTTTACCAAATTCAGCTTTATGAAATTAACTCACAAGATCACTTTGCTAGCAAAGCTGATTTCGGGTTGTTTTGATTCTTAAGCCTGTGTGTTTATTGAAAGCAGGCATGCTGATTACCTTTCTTTTGAGCTCTGGCAGTCATGTCACGTTTTGGTAATGAAATTAAAAACATGGGTTAGGGTTTGCACTGTAGTATTTAATTAGTTTCACTGCAGGAGTTGCTCTGCTTACGTTAAAGGCATTAATTGTTCTTTTGCTTTCCCATAACTCATTTGCTTTGTAATTATCTGTGATCTAAATCCTTTGAGTTATACACCCATGTACTATTGACATCAGTGGATCTATTTGAGACTATAAAATAAGCACTTTTTTTCCTATGTTACGTTTCATCGTTGGCTTTTATCTCTTTTAATGTGTTACCCGAATGCAAGAATTTGACAGTCTGAATAACTAATGGCTCTATTGTTAATCTTGAAAATGAGCTGCTTTTAAATGGATCATGATGAAATTTTTCATACTGTCTGTAGTTAGTATGTTGGTCTGGTTTCGTCTTGCAAGACTGCTTATGTGTTTGCCTTGTCTGTATTTCTGTCCTTTTGTCTCTGTTAGTAAACTCCGGCATCTGTTAATAAATTTCTACAAGTTTCATGAAAATAGGTAGCTAGACTGAGGAAAGGAGTTAACAGGTGGCCTGAGAGAAGCAGTAGCATCCAGTGTGAATCCACCTGGGTGAAAGAGCTTGCTGCTGTCAGGCGCATAGGCAAAAAAGCAGTGTTAGTGTGAAGTACACAAGAATTACTTGGTGACTCTGCCAGATGCATCATAATGTCTCTGCAGGCTGAATTTGCGTCGGTAGTTTTCTGTACATCTACAGTAATCTATTTACCTCTGCGTACAGCCTACAGAACTATTTTGGAAGTATCTGTGTAAATAATCATCTGAACTCAAGTATACTTAACTCAGTGTGTAACATTGTAATTTATAACAAATTTATAACTTATTTTTCTCCTTCATAAAAGAATTGCCTTCTAGGTGTTAGAAAATTATTACAGTAGTAAATTATTTTGAAAACTTAACTTAGGTGAAGTTTACATGTTTAAAATGAATCTAGAAATTTCTAGTTGCAGGCAGTTTAACCAGTTATACCGCACTACTTCAGTAACTAAACTAAGAGGCACCAAGTTCTTACTAAACAGACGGCAAAGAAATGCCCACAGTTTTAGTTTTACAGTAACAGAAATCAGCAACTATTTTGGTGGGGTTTTTACCCCTGATAAACAAAGATCCATTCCTAGAGCTTTCTCTTATGAACTTAGTTTTAGGAAAAAGGAACAATGAATTGGCTTACCGATGTAAGTCTGCTTATTTTTGTGACATTATATGGTGGGGTTGGGTTTTGGTTTTTTTTAAAGTAATACTCATGTAATTATTTCCCTCTGTCCAATAACAGAAGCAGCAGTGCCTCCCTGGGTAGACAGCAATGAAGAAGAAACAATTCAACAACAAATACTGGCCTTATCAGCAGTATGTATTTAGTTTCCTGTAAGATTTGAAAATTTTCTTTTTGTTTTTCAAAAGTAAGTTTGGTTGGTGTTACTAAATTATAGGTTTTCACTATACTTCTTTTAATGTGTCCCTGTACTCATCATGTGCAAGAGTAAATCATTCTTTTTTAGTATCAACTTGAGGCAAAGTAGATCCCCAGTATAACTTTTGATTTTTATAAAGGCTTTACAGCTTTGTGGTATGATAGAATTATGTGGGAGGTGGGATTGCTTTGCTGGTCTTGTGTGTGAAATATGATATCCTTTTTCTAGTATCAGTTAATGACCATAAATATGTTCTTCAAAGGATAAACGGAATTTTCTACGGGATCCTCCAGCAGGTGTGCAGTTTAATTTTGACTTTGATCAGATGTACCCTGTTGCAATGGTGATGTTACAAGAAGATGAACTACTCAATAGGATGAGGTTTGATCTCGTTCCCAAACAGTAAGTAATTTTTGCTGGTACCTTTGTATGGTTGGACTTCTAATGTGTCTGTAAATTTTGTAAATTACTCCTTTTCACTTCCTTCGGTTCTTTCTTTCTGTACTTCCTCTGTATGTATTCTGTATCTGCTAATTTTGAATGCATGGAATATTGCATGTGCGTTGTGGTTTAGCATGTAGAGGAAAGAACAGAAGTAGATCTGTTACAAATTCAGAGCTAATAAGGACCTGTCAACTGAAGTATGAGAGAGGCCTTAAATTTTTCCATGTCCAGTGTGCTAAAGTAATTTAAAATGCTTTTCTAAAACAGAGGTAGATGCAGCAACAAAAATACTCAGATTTGTTGGGGTAACTGACACCCCAGAGGTTATTTATATTATCACCTATTAGGGATAGTCAGAGGCCCAATGGAGAAATGGTAAAAGAATGCATCCAAAACAGCAGCCATGCAAGCAAGAAAAACTGTTTTTGAATAAGCAGAGGGAAAAACTCTGTGTTGTGACTGCCTGCCTTCTTACGGACCTAAGGTCTTTATCCCAGCAGTTATGGTCTGTTCAGTATGGCTTCTTGATCCCAGCTTTATTCCAGCACTGCTCTCCTTCATTGCCAAGTCCCAGACTCTGCTCCTCAAGCTTGTTTCATAGGTCAACATTCTCGTTAAGCAGAAGTTCCCAACGTTAGTGTCTTGCCTGAGCATGGAACCAGGAAAGAAAACACCTTTCTTTGCACTTTTCTATCTTAAAATATCCTCCTTAAATTTCCTCCTCCTCCCAGCTCCTTACTTTATTTACCTCCTTCCCTGCTGTTCTTTGTTGCTGTCAGTCCATAAGCTCTGCCCATATTCTAGCTCTTCATCAGATCTCTCTCTGATGCTGTGTCTTCAGCCTCTGGTCACACTTGTCTTGCCTGTCCTACCCCATTGCTTAATACTTGGGGTTTGGCTGGGGTTTTTTCCCTTTTCTTAGTCTCAGCAGTCACTGTTTGCCTGAATGGGTGGGAAGGCAACTTCACTCTGTTCTTTCTTTCTTGACTTACATACATTCCTCCCCACTGGCCCTGCCATTTCTGGAGTTCTCTTTCCTCTGAGTTAAAGTTGGGTCTTTGCTTGCTTGCTGGAGAGTTATCAAAGGGAAATGTTACCCAAGAAATGGGATAGTCTCCTGCTTATCAGAGCGGGTTGTTTCAGAGATGGCAGTTTCTAGCTACTGAAGGTCCTGCGGACTTGCTGAAAGATGTGAAGATAATGAAATAGTTGTGTTGCAAACTAGGAATGGCTTCTGCCTATAGATCAACAACGTTCCGGTTCCACCTGAGGTCTAGGGAAGATGTAGATGAATCTGGTTTGACAGCAATAGAATGTTGGTTTTAGAGTAAGTGATGAGAACAGGGTTATTTGGCTTGTTGGGTTTGTTTACATGAGTTGGCAAGAGAGATGGAACAGCATAATATTGTTCCAAATTGTGTATTGCTGCATGCTGTTAAGCTTTTTCTAAGGAAATAACATTATTATTATTATTAAATGTTCAAGTCCATTGTAACTGTCTTGTAGGAGATCAAGAACTTCTACAACGATGGATTTTTTTTCAACTGTGAAAATCACAAAAGCTTTTTTAGGAGAGACAGCTATGTCTACTCCTTCCCTCTGCATATTTAATTTTATTTCATTGCTGGATGGTACAAGGAGCCATATTTGCAAACGTAGTAATCAAAATCTGTTTATTCTCTCTAGCGTAAAGGAGGAGGTGTTCTGGAGAAACTATTTCTACAGGGTGTCCCTAATTAAACAGTCTGCCCAGCTCACCGCACTGGCAGCTCAGCAGCAAGCAGTAGGAAAGGAAGAGAACAAAGGCAGAGAAGAGGATAGTCAACTGAAAGGTATGGAAAGGATTTGTTTTAGCATAGCTCATAACGTTAGTGTCATGCATGTTGACTCTATACACGAGGAGACATCGGATTTTTATCCTGGGTTTCCTATGAAATCAGAGCTGCTCTCCTCATACTTGGTCTGTCCAGACGGGGAAGAGGGGGCTCCTAGTGCTTTTAAGCTCTTTTCCAATTTCAGCCAACTTTGTCAGAAGAGTGGAAATCTCAAGAGGTGAAATTGTGTACTTGGCTTGTAATAGCTCAAGACCACCAGTGGTCTCTGGTGTGCTTTTTTGACTTGTCAGAAAGGAGTAAGAGGTACCCTTGGTTTGCCTGGTAAGACAACCGGTACCAGCCAACCCAGCCAGCTGGCACATGGTTTGCTCTTGACTTTTGCTTAGGCCTCAGGCCAAACAAAGTTAGGGATATGAGGGTAGAATTATTGTGGTGGTGGAGGCAGACACACATGCAGAATGTGGAAAGGGACACGGTGTATTACAGAAATGAAAGGAGATAGGGACCAGGAGGCTGTCTGGGATTCAATCTTGAGATGAAAAAGCTGTTTCAATGTAGGCATCTTCAGTGACACTGGTCAGTTTATACAGGTTATTTTTACTGACCCTCTTATGAATCTGTTTCAGACCAAGAGGCACCAATTCTGACTTGTTTTATTCAGGACAGTTGTCTGCTATGTACAACCAAATGATACAGCATGTCCCCATGTTGAACAGCATGCTGTCAATACTAGAAACACTACTCATGCCATTTTCAGGCTTTGTAAGCTTAAAAATCATGGCCTCACTGGAGCATATTACATGGAGCACAGAGGCCGTATCCACTGCAGGCCGTGTGCCCTCCAGTGGATGCTAGCCTTTGAGGAGTTTAACCCTGTGGGGACCAGGGTTCCCTCCCTGGGAAGATTGACAAACGTGGTATAGAAACAGCCCAAGATGATTCATGTGTTTACTATAATAATGTAATTCTTCTCCTCGGTATAGTTCCGAAGACTGCTTTAAGCAAAGGATTACAGAACTTGTGTTTGGGTTTTTTTGTGTATCTTTAAAATGTGCGCAGCTTAAAAAATGAAGTTGAGAATTACCTGACAGTGAATCTTCCTACTGTTTTTGTAGTTTTGTAAGCATGTTTTCTGAAGAAAAAGAAGAGCAATAGAGGAAATGTGATTAGATGGAGAAACACCTGCTCAGTTCTGTGGAACCTGAGACGTTTTTTTGCTTCGTATAAAACAACAAAAAAAACCCCAACCTACTCTTAAATGTCTGACTCTTTCCTCATAACAGAAAGCTTTTGTCTTTACCTCTCAGTGCAGACTGTATTTAGGCTCATTTCCTACTTACCTGTTCAAGTTACATCACTTCTACACTCCCACCATATTCAGTTCCTGGTTTTGTCACTTTCTATGAGCAAATTGTTTTTACAGTTACCCTGTGCAGGTGCCATAACTCAGGAAATCACGGGGATTGTCATGATTTCATTAAACCTTTGCACCTAACTGGCATCTAAATGCATTTATCTGATTTTCTTTCTTGGATTTCTTTATCGTTGCGATTTTTTTTTAAATCTTTTTTGGATTTCTGTTCTTCTGGGTTTTTTATTACACCAACTGATAGGATTGTATTGTAGACTATTAAAGTAGTGACTGTCTTCACCTCTGCTTTCTGTAGTGCAGAAAGCACTACATGTAATCTACAGTAGATTAAATGTAATCTACAGTAGATCTTTTGAGTATTAAATCATTTGCTACTGCATTTAGTCCTTTGTAGAGAGGAAAAGGTTGCATTTGGAAAGATTAGAAACAAATTCTGCCAAAAGATTTTTTTTTTTCACTGTTTATAAGCATTTTTCCTGTGAAGTCTGTGTATTGTCAGTGTGCTTCCCCTTTCCACCAAGTGCTTTATTTGCTTTCTGTTTCTGCATATCATTGCTTCAGTAATCCAATTTCAGGGAAAAAAAAAAGGCAAGCTGATGCTGTTGTGGCTGTTTGGCTGGTCAAATAGAAGCTGCTCTATTGTTAATTACCATGCTGAAGGTTTCCTTTTGCAAGCTAAATACGTAGTTAAGTGGAGAGTCTTAAACTGAAAGTTCCTAGGGCAGCGTAACCTCCTGGTTGGTTGGTTGGTTGGTTTTTTTTAACCAGTACCTTACTCACATTTGCCAGACTGTGACTGTTTTAATTGAAACATCTCAACTCTACAGGAGAGGTGGCAACTGACCCCATTGAACAACGACACTGTTATCCTTGAGTCATCCAAACCTTTAGAAATTGCCAAAGTTGCTGGGTAATACCCAAAAAGTTACTGTAGTGAAATCACCATTGTGACCGAAAACAAAGCATGCCATCTTTAAAAAAAGAAAAAAGCAGTGTCTCTTGGCCTGCTGCAGATACCTCTCAGTTCAGAAGACCAGTATAGGATCTGCAGATATACTGTCCTAATGACTGTATAATCTATAATGGCAAAGATGCATTTACCAGACTGTAGTAAATAAATGTTTTGTTTGATTTGAAAATTGCATATTTGGGAAGCTCTGAATCATCTGTGTTCATTTTGATTCAAATAACTTTTTTGAAGGTTGGATTCCCTAACTGGAGGCTAAAACTTGATGCAATTGCCTGTCGGTAACTCTTCCTAATGTTCAGAGTTTCTTCTTAAAGCTGACTGATGTCTGTAAAATAGAATTAATTGCATTCCATTTTTATCTGTCTGTCTCCTCCTCCCCTGCTGTTTTCACTAAGTTAAATTCATGTGGTTGATGTGAAAGGAAAAAAGAAGGGACAAATGGAAGACATTCCACATTCTTAGTGTAGAGACTGTATAAAACCTATAACAAACTGCCAAGTTCTAGTCCTTCTCCAGGTATTAGCAACTATTTACTTGGGAATGAAGGTACCTCGGGGGGCAGAGATGGCATCATGCTAGTCACGTCAGGCCGGGTGTGTGACCCAGTGGCAGAGCTGCTGTGCTGCTTCTGCAGGAGAGCAGCAGGTGGAGCTGGAGGCACCTCTCTGGCGCAGTGCTTTGGGCAGTGGGTGCTTAGCAGGGAAGAGTTAGTGCCATGTGCTTACAGCCTGCCAGAGCAGGGAGTGCTGGAGCCTCTTGGGCTGTGGTGGTGGGTGCAGTAACAGATCCTCCAAAGACTGGGAAGGAAGAGAGAGGATGGGTCAGAGCGGTGGGCATTGAGTAGATGAGCTGTATGAGCAGAGATAGCTACCAATTAGGGAATTATTTTAATTAGTGCTGATCTTAATTTTAAAAATTAAACCAGAAAAAAATTCCCCCTTCAGAAATTGCTGAGTAAGCAGGAAGGGTCCACCTGCAGTGAGCAGAGCAGCAAGCTCAGAGCTGCTTTTCATGTTTAAACAAATAGAACTGCTAAGCAAGCACTCCGTCACTACTGCAACCTGCCCAGTTTGTTAATTGTTCTTGCAGCCAGCTGGCTCTTTACTGGCCCTCCTCTACTCTGCCGTTGCTTGGGGAGGAAAGCCAGGGTGTTCTTTTACCTGCCAAGGAGAAAGCTCTGTCCTTGCTTGTAAACAATCACGGTCTTCCTTGTACTGTGCTACTAAATACAGAACGCACAATGAGTTTTCTTAGGAAACTGGGAACAGCTTCTAGGGTTTGTGTTTTCCAGTGACTACCTTTGCCTGGGTGAAAAAAGGCACGGGCTGCGGAGTGCTCGTGCTCGTGTGCATGCTGGCGTAGTCCAGTATAGCTCTGAGCAACTAGTGCGCGTGTCGGCAGCAGTACCCAGCCAGGCGAGTTTCTGTGGGAGGCAGTAACTGCATTTCATGACTAAGCCTGCACCTTTGTGACTTCAAAGGTCTTGTGGTGTGATTTGTGTTACAGACGACATTCTCTGATTCCCAACTGTTCCTACCTGCGTAGTTCTTCGAATCATTTTGAGGAGCAGAGGTTCCTGTGATTTAAGTTTGGAGTTACAATGAGGAAATGGTTTGCTAAATTTGCCTTACTTAAGAATAGAATATTGCTCCTCTCCCATTTTGTTGTTGCAAAACACCTTCACTTATGGCTCAGCTCAGCCTTTAACCACCAGGATTCCTTAAATCTTAAAATACAATATTGCTTTGTATCTTTAATAGCTATGCAGACTAAATGAGATCTTTATGTATTTAAATGTAATCTACCTTTTTTTTTACCCCTCTCAATAGAAACAGTACGACCAAAAACACCGCCCGTTACAATCAAGCCCCAAATAAAGTCTCAAGAGGTAAAAATGCTGTTATATTTTTATCTGGCATTTAGTATGTGAAACTGTAACTTAATGGGCAATTATGCTTCCTTTCGAGTAAGTGGTGCTATGAAACCATAATATAATATCTGACAGTCCGAACCTGCTGCTGTTCTACTGTGATACTGTTTTTTAGTGCAGACACTTGAAATTCCTTTTCAGCAGAAGAAACAGTAGTTTATCTGCGGAATACTTTCATTAGTAACCTGCACGTTATAATAAAACATGGTTTCACTCTGAAGCCAAAATGTTTGGAGTAGAAGGTTTACACTGTATTGAGACACAAGGGACACCTCCATAAAAATGTATCCGTCTGCCGTGTTCTGCCCAACTCTTCAGCAGTTGTCAGGATTAAGTGTAGGAAAACTAAATGACGGGTTGCAGTAGCAATGGCAAGAAGAGTTTTTTGCTTGATACTGCAGAAACCTTTAACTTAGACATGTAATGACCCTTGTTCATTTCTGGACTGTAAAATCAGTGCTAGAGAACAGTCTTGGCAGAAGCAGAGCTGTGCATTCACTTGTCAATAATATGCAGTAGGCTAAACTCAGCTAGAAAGATTTCCAAAGAACAGGCCTCCCAATCTTATTTGTGTGTGAAAAACTTACTGAATTGTGATCAAAACTTTAATATTAGTCTTACGTTCTGTTCTAAACTACTTATGAGTTTTATTACTCTTTCTGAATATTACAAAAACGGAACTGAAGTTAAGAGAACACAAAAAGGAGCCTAGGATGAAAAGCAGATTATTTTCAGCGTAACTATCTAACACTTCTGTCTGTACAAAAATGCTGTTAAAGAAAAATGATCCATTTTTTTGACAACGTTTGACAACAAAAACAATTGTCAAAGTAATGCATTTGGTTTGTTTCTTCGCTCTTAGCTAAAAGGCAGGCGGTCACATGAGTGGATGTATTGGTGACCTCTTTTTTTCCTCTTTTTGGATAAGCTTAATCAGAACTGTCTTCTTGCAGGATGAGGAAGAGATTTCCACAAGTCCAGGTGTATCGGAATTTGTGAGTGATGCTTTTGATGCCTGTAATCTGAATCAGGAAGACCTAAGAAAAGAAATGGAACAACTGGTGCTAGACAAGAAGAGAGAAGAGACTTCAGTAGTAGAAGGTAAAGGCATTACCTTCTGTGTCTTAAATACAGTAATTCTAAGATAGGTTGGTTTTAGAAAAAATTGTAATTCAACTTAGAAAAGTGGATTCGTGACTGTTTTTCAAAGTTTATGAAACAACCTGTGATGAAATACTGCAGAAATTAATGATAATTCTCACCACAGTTGAGCGACGTCTTATACGAAGAGTTAGCTCTGATGAGCTCAACTCCAAAGAACCTAACAATTTTTAGGTGACTCTTCTATGACAGTGACAGTGGAGGGTTGGTTTTTTTCTGTCTACCTCCTCCTTTCCCTGCCTTCTCTTTTATAGGTCCTTATGTGTATGATTTTTTTCCTTCCTTTCTTTGACATCTTTGTAGGTAAAGTACAGTCTCTGGAAGTCAGGCTGTGTTTGTTTGTCTTGTCACACCGGCTAAACAGGCAGTGTTTGCATCAGACTCTGAGCTTGCAGGCACCTCTGCTGTAGAAGGTTTATGTGCGTTTGTAAAGGATTAAAATTTAACAAACAGTATTGAGAATGAGGAGAAGAAATAAAGCGGGGCTTAGACTTAATGCAGAAGAACTAATATCAGTGTAAAAAGCATAAAAACAGTCTGTGATGGTGTGACTCTGGCCATACACGAGGAACTACTTACTATGTAGATGCTTATCGTAGCACAGTTTTCAGATTTCATCTTAGACCGTGCTTTGGATGTTGCTGAATCCTTGTTTTCTGAAACTGGTATTTTTCCAATACGTAGCTATGCTTGAGGAATTCTTACAAGTTACGTTAGTCCCCTTCATCTAGCTTTTTGATGGAAGTGTTTCAGTAAGTCACGAATGTGTCGTTTGTTCAGAGAAATCTCAGCTGGCCTTACTGACTTGGACTATGGAATCACGTACCTTCATATCTGGGCTGAAGTACCAACCCACACGTAACACATCAAACACCCGCCTCCTCCCCCGTACTCTTGCATGGGATACGTAGAGCTAATTAAAACGGAGATTAACACAGGAATACCTTCTGACTCATTTTTTTTGCCCTGAAGTACGAGATATGATTACCTTCAACCCTGATTAAATGAGCTTGCCTAGCTGCAGATGCCAGTGAGGAGAATACCTGCTTCTTTTTATAAAAATTATCCTCAGTATTTGATCTTAATTTTTTTTTTAAATAACACTATATTCAACAAACTTTTGAACTTCATTCATTTTTTTCCAGAGATTTAAAAGTACAAAGGGAAGTTCAGTTGATAGTAGACTGAAAGCCTATAGGAAACGGGCTTGTAAAGGGACACTTGTTACTAGTAAGCTGTGTGTTTGCTTTTCATGTCTTTGTTACAGTAGGCACACAGGAATATAGACTTGCCTATTAATTCATTCCTATCTGTGGTCAATAAGAAGATGAAATCTCTGATCTTGAAATTTCTTTAATCTTTAAGGAGAATTGTCCACAAATTTTGGGGGATATAAGAGAGATTCAGTGCAAATTCATCTAGTTTTGTATGAATAAGCAGCATTCTGTATTATCAATTTAATTCTTACACATTATTTATCTCTTGTAGAAGAAACTGCTGATTGGGAAAAGGAATTGCAGCAAGAGCTTCAGGAGTATGAGGTGGTGACGGAATCAGAAAAGCGTGATGAAAACTGGGATAAAGAAATAGAAGAAATGCTGCAAGAAGAAAATTAAGCAGTTTCTCAAAATCACTATAACCCTAAGCTTTTTCTGAGGACTGACATGGATTTCTGCTTTCATTTTTGGCTTACGAAAGATCTTCAAAAGAATCTAAAATCGTTATCATTCCATATGGGAATACAACCAGTATTTCTGTTCTTTATATGAGCAGTTTCTGAACTTCTACGTTCTTCAAAAGAAAAAAGACAGACACTGCAGATTATATGTCATAATTAAAAGCGATACCGTTATTACGTGAAGCAACAGTTTGAGGCATTTTCTAAGTAGTCAAGAAGCTCTGCAAAGAGATTTCTTTAAGAATCTTAATTTGTCTACAGCCTTCTGTTTGGGATGTAAAAATGGATGTTGTAAGTAAACCTGTCCTTGAAAATAACTCTCTCATCACTTCTGCACTCTGATCCCTGTATAATCTGTAAATGTGTACTATTTTTAAGGTACTTGTAGCTAGTAGCTTTCATGTGTATTTAACTTTCTTAATGTACGTAGCCAAAGAACTTGTAGAAAACCTGATTGCATAACTTCCAATAACTTGTTAAAAAAAAAAAACTAATTCAGATGCCAAAAGAAGTACTGATTAATTATTGATCAGATATGACTAACTGGCAAACATTTAGAAGATAAATAAGAACAGAGTTAACTGCTTGAATTCAACTGCTGGGTTTTTAAATCATTATATTAAGGTATTGTATTTCCTCACTGAGAGAAATGGTGTCATGCATTCTTTCTTCAGAAGACTTATGTTTCCATTTAATCTGGCTGTCAGAGTGAGAGCAAATTAAACACTTCCCTTCATTTTAAGTGCTGAAACATAAATGTAAAAACTTTGGCTAGTTTGGACATCTTTATTAAATACTGTAGATATGTATAAAATTGGCTCATTTATTTCGAGGGGAGGGCAGAGTGAGAGGAAAACATATTTGACTTACACAGATTTCGAGAATACGCTTTGTCACAGTGCTTAAGACATAGAATTTAAATAAAAAGTAGTTTTCTTTAAAACACTGGTTTCTTCTTCTTAGGCATCTGGATGTTTCCAGTAGTTTTTCCATTAAGTCAGTATCTTTATGTATGCAAATGAAAAATTGATGCTCTATTTATCACCTATTTCATAAGCTTCTGTGACAAAACATTCCTGAAATTCCAAATGTGAAGGAAAATGGGTAAAATGAAGTATGTAGGAGCCATTAAACCCAGCTGAATCATAGGTGTGTTGCATACCGTAAACTGTGCCTTAAGGACATAATTCTGCAGAATACTCTGGTCAAGGGGCTGAAAAGTTTATAGCTGTAATTACTCGGTCAATATTCATCCCCTGGGAACTGAAAAGAGCCAAGCAGATTCCCCTGCTGTTAACTGTAAGAAAGGACTGTGTAAAATTGTCTCTATTAGCAGCTTGGATTGAAAGCCCTCCTGTGTTCTCATCATGGAAAATGAGTTGGTTTAGACCTGCAAACGTTTGGATTTTCAAATTAGTTTCTTACTAATTACCATGCACTTTCTCAACTATAAATCATCTTAAGCACAATTTTTATTTTCACAGTGTTTTTCACTTTTAGTTAACAGGTGCCAGTTACCTCGTGATAAACAAGAGGTACTTTAGGAGCTTTTTATATCCAGGGTGAATTGAAGGCCTCAAAAGTTTAAATCGGTTACGCTCGCAGCAACCAGACTACTCAAAGCTTAACGTTGACTCTGGACAAATGCAACTGCTCACAGATTTAACCCGAAGACGTTAGGATCTGTCCACTGTACAGTTTGGCACGACAGGTAGTTCTAGTCTGATAGTGACAAATCTTCCCTGGATGACTTGGAGCTCGCAACCTCTGCTCCTAATGTCCGATTCCATAAACGCCAGCCTCATAATTCCTCCTGTTTTCAGATATGACTGGCTTGGTGGCGTGGGGTTTGTACTTCAAGCCTCATCTTTCTTTTCACATAAGCACAGTCCATATGATGGTTATAGATAGAAAACTCTGCCTTTCATAAAAGATGGCTCCTACATGTAAAACCTTAGTTTTTCTAAGTCTCATGAAAAGCAAGTAGGTCTAAAAAAAATCCCGCTGTTTAAATTTGCATTTAAAAGGCAATAACGTAACAAGGCTTAATCTGACTGAGCTCTGATATTTAAAGTTTCTTATCAAAAATAATATTTTCAGACCCGCATATCTGGCTTTAACCCAGAAAGCCGCTGGTAAGTTTTTGTTTGCACCGTTTATTTAAAACTCCTGCACCGTTTTCAGGGCTGCCTGTGCGTTAGGGCAGAGCAACGAGTGTCTAGCTGTTTTTACCATGCGTGGCAAGAGGGCGACGGTCCACCTTCCATCGTTGCACGAGGCGAACGTAGGTAGGCCTCTTCGCCTGCGTGGTGATTTCTGTAGGCCTTGGTAGCCCAAGCGGGTCTTTGTAATACACCAGCAGCAGGTGTGCTGGCATTCCTTAACAACTTGGTTCCAAGCACTGGGATGCTGCAGATGCTAAAATCCAGCAACAGTACAAAATCAAGGACTAAGGCCAAAAAGAAAACAAGCTGTTTGAGACAATGTAACAGCAAATGCAGCTGTTTAAAACGCTGAGGAAAAGTGAACAAACAAAAAAGCTTATTAACAACGTTTAGAAGCAGCTAATTGTGCAGATTTTGAAACTAACCTTTGGGAAACAGGGAGAAGGTGGCCCAGGATCCATGTAGGTTAGCTCAGAACAGTTAGATACAGCTTTCTGCTGAGGGACCGTCGTCTCTGGCTATTTTTTTTTTGAAATGCTACTTTACTGGTCCAGCGGCTGCTAGTTGATACGTGCACGGAATATGTTGATTCAGTGATTTGTGAAGAGGAACAGGGAAGACTGTAAAAACCTGGAGTAAGAAAGTGCAGTAACATGTTCCCCTACATTATTCTTCAATTATTTACTGCTGTTCTCAGAAAACAAGAGTTAACCGAAGCTTCCAGTGCCCTGAGTTGTTTGCTAGCCTGTCGCTCCAGTTGAGCCGTAACACCGGGTTTTCCTCCCCACTGTTCAGCTCTCTGTGTGCGTGTTCGGCGGGGTTAGCTACGCAGTACCGGAGCGCAGGATCTCGGTTTTAACCTCATGCATTTAAAGAATAACCCGATGTGCAGGAGCGTGTCACCTGACCGCGAGATGCACCCTTGAACTCTTGGCCGCTCGCGCACTGTTGACGTTTACTTTGCAGGAGCTGTTAGGTAAGAGGGAACTCAGCGTGTCTGGTTAGGTACTGGGGCGCTGCCGAGCACTCACAGCCGCTTCGGGCCCTCGGCCCATGTATGTGCTCGGTCTGGAGCCTGGCTGTACGACTACGGTGTTCGAGAACCTCGCTGGTACCGGCCTGGGTTTCCATCTGTCAGAAGTTCCAATGTATTCTATATGGCCCGATGCTATATGTCCCAGTAAGTGCCATATACACTACATGGAGACTGCTATCTCCATAACAACAGCAGTGCGGTAGCAGCCCAGCCTTAGATAACGTTTTCCATTATCCAATTTGTGTTCCAAACTACTCATCTTCAGTGCTTTTCTCCTTGGTTTTAAACATCAGGGATTTGGGGTTTGGTTGTTTTAGATCAGAATTCCGATTTTTTTAAATGAAACGGCGAGTAACTGAATGAATTTCTAGCTAAGTTTTCTTTGCATTATATTGAAGTTAACTAAACAATGATGCCTACAAAACGTGGGAAGATGTGGATGGCTTCCTCTTCTTGTCAGTATAGCCCAATATTGGCCATACACACGTACGTACGAAGACTATGCATATATAGAAATGCAAAGCCACGTGTATTGGTGTGTCTAAATATATTCCAAAAATCATAATGCCCTTTTCAGCTGTTACTTTCAACTAGATACCATGGCGAGAGGAGGAGCAACCAAAATAATTATCATTAGTTTGTCACTCTATCATTTTTAATGAGACAGCGCTCTGTAGAAATTATCTTGCAGAATGAATCACTTCATTTCATAAAAGCGTGGTTTTCATTATGGCACAGATGGGGAATGCTTTCCCTTGCTAAATCGGGGGCTCATGAAGCTATGACAAACTTCTCCAGATACACTTGGGAGGAGTGCTGAATCCAAAACTACATGGGCAGAAAGGCTATTTATCTCGGTGTGATTCGGACAAAGTATTGAAAAATAGAAGAAAACGCAGTTAGTTAAGGGTTATAGATAAAATGAGTAGAATAAAGATTCGATGCCTGTTTTGATACATGGTGCTCTGAAGAAAACCACGTTTAACTAGTTTTTTTTCTTATCTGTATGCATGCACAAAACCTTAATTCTGCAGTTGCTTTTATTTCTTTGTTCTCTTAGCTATGGTTTCCGTACTCTAATGTGAAGGTTTCAGAGCCAGATAAAGCTACTGTTCCTCTGCACTTCCTATCCCTCCTGAGGAGAAACGAGTCCAATTTACCTCACAGTCAAATAATGGTCAGAAAATAGATTGATCACACCCAGCTTCTTGTCCCACTTACTTCAGAAGTATTTTAATGCTGGCCAGGTGCCCTTTTGTGACTTTGATGCCTGCAATTTAAACATCAAACAGTTTTGCTTTTGCTGTATCATCACCGCCCTGCATCCTGCATCATGTGTAACAAGACTTTCCAGCCCATCGTGTGTTGGGTGGATGAAAAGTGCTGCTGTAAGGGCATTACTGGGGTGGAGAGGAGCCTCCGCAGACACTGAGTGTGGATGTGGAAACAACAGTCTCTTTCGGTGGGATGTGGTGCCACAGAATTAGTGGGCATGTGAATTAAAGAGCTGAAACCATGGCCTAAGTGAGCACAAATACTGGCACATAGGTTCTTTCACAGAATCATAGAATCACAGAATGGTTTGGGTTAGAAGGGACCTTAAAGACCATCCAGTTCCAACCCCCCTGCCATGGGCAGGGACACCTTCCACTAGACCAGGTTGCTCAAAGCCTCATCCAGCCTGGCCTTGAACACTTCCAGGGATGGGGCATCCACAGCATCTCTGGGCAACCTGTT